CTTGTCCTAGTAGCGGTGCCCTTGCTGCTAGTAGCGATGCCCTTGTTTCTAGTAGGGACGCCCTTTATAGTAGCGTCTTGTTCCTAGTAGCGATGTTATTGTTACTAATAGGGATGCCCTTTTTAAAATTTTACTAGTAGCTTCTTGGTCCTAGTCGCGATGCCCTTTGTTACTAGTAGCGATGTCCGTGTTACTGGTAGCTGCTTGCGCCTAGGAGCGATGCCCTTTTACTAGTAGCTTCTTGTTCCTAGTAGTAATGCCCTTTGTTACTAGTAGGGATGCCGTTGTTGCTGGTAGCTTCTTGTTTCTAGTAGTATTGTCATGCCCTTTACTACTAGTAGCGATGCCCTTGTTTCTAGTAGCTTGTTGTTACCAGTAAGCTTGTTGTTACTTGTATCATAACAAGAACCTTTTCTTGGGAATCATTTTTGGAAAGCAACTGGTGGAGATGACGCTGCAAGGCCTGCATTGCCACATTTTGCACAAAGGGCATCAAGCGCATGCTTGTCTGCACAGTGTCACTTTGATTTGATGACGCGTCTACTCTTGTAGAACCCTAATGGCATTCTTTGGCCTCCAACCTAATAGCGATGGCCTCCAACCTAATTAAGAGTGATGGCCTCCAAACTAAGATGGTTTTTTCGGTGTAAACAGAGACGTAATCTCGATTTATGAAGGGGGGATTCTCAAACAACACCTTGCTTGTTGGGGACCTGAGGTTGGCGTGTCGGCGGTATCGACGACGCAAACCGCAAGCGCGGTGTCGCAGGTTGGATGTCAAAAGTGGACCGTTGGCTGAAGCGATCTTGAAACCATCCAGAGGAATCACACAGCAGAATTTGTACTAGGAACATTCTTACTAGGAGAATCGGACGCTACTAGGAGCAAGGACTACGAACGGAGCGATCGGACGCTGTGGTGGCAAGAAGCTGAGGGAATGAAGCATCTTTGGTTCAAGGGGACTCTCTACGCGACCGCTTGCGACAGACTAACTTATATCATCTCTGAATCTTATATCTAAAAGTCTAAAGCATAGAGCAAGACATAATCAAGCATAGAGCATGATTTTTCCACGCTTCAAACAAAGAAATAGGGCACAAACGCATAGAGCAAGCTTGGACGCATGAGCAATCCATACCATGCTGATCTTGCTCTGAGCTCGGTCAGCAAAAAGAATCAACATCTCAAATTGTACAAAGCAATCAAAGCTGGAAAGAAGAAACTGCAAGGATGACACATTATGGGTGTCACTCCTGCAAAACGTTGGTATCGTGACATTTGACCAGATTCTTTGACGTGGCAGTAGTGCCTTGCGAGGTCTGGAAGCAAACCCTGGAGAAGGAGCTGGGTCTTTGGTGCTGTCAACAACTAGGCCTCCAACCTAATAGCGATGGCCTCCAACGTAAGAGCGATGGCCTCCAACCCTAGAGGTGATGGCCTCCAACCCTTGAGAAGGAGCTGGATCTCTGGTGCTGTCAACAGCTAGGTGCGTGTGGGCTGAAGCATGACTGTCATGTCCTAGTGATTGCATGATCATTGAACATGGATGTACAATATTCACACTATTTTGTCACTCTTGTCCATTGTTGTCACTAAAGGTACTAGTAACAAGTGCATCGCTACTACTAACAAGGTTGCTGCCCACTTCACACAAGGCAATTCTTCACATGTGGAGGTGTTTCGAGAGATGCTCCACTCGACGCTGTGCTGAAGGCTCCGGCGAGTTTGTTTTCTGTACCGGAATGCCCTAGTGATGATTGACCAGTAGTAATGCCCTAGCTACTAGTGGCGTCCTTGTTACTAGCAGCGATGCACTTGTTACTAGGTGCAAAGTCTTTAAACGTGCCAGAACATTCTCAAAACGTTTTTGCCGGTGTCTTGATTTGGTCGGACCATTTAGTTTTGATTCTGAATTCAGAATGAAAGCATGCAAGATCTTGAATGGTTTCTACAAGTGCGATGGTTTGATTGCCCAAAGCTTGTCTGAGTTTTCTGCCATGGAGAGCCCCGGAAAGCCGGAGACCAGGACATGTCCAGCAGTTCCCAAGCTGGTGAGTCGACGAACAGGCAGTCTTGTCACCTGGGTGGTGGATCGTGGTGGGGCACCGCCCAATTCACCGGCGCCCAGAACAAGAGAGTCCAGTCCTCAGACACCTCCCTTCAAGCCTTCCTTTCCGCGGCTGACCTGTCTGAGTCCCAGTCCCAAGAATCCCAAGAGTCCCAGACACCCATTTTGCACTTCGCCCAAGAGCGACCTCCCGAAGTCGCCGCCTTCGCACCGGGAGACCTCTCGGGAGACCTCCCCGGACACCAGGTGTTCTCTACCTTCGTCGTCTGGCGAAGGTCCAACTCCAGTTTGGCCAGTCTTTGTCCCTTGGGTTGGGGTCGCTATGGACCCCATGGTCATGGCAAATGCCATGGCACACTACCAGCTCCAGGTGTGCAAGAAAGCACAGCAACTTGCTCAGGCCCGTGGTGCACCAAACAATGAGACCTGCGTGGTGGGCTGCTGTTGTTCGCGGTGCATTGGCATTCCAGCAGCGTTTCGTCCAACAAGTGCGGAAGCTGTTGAAGCAAGTCAGGAGTCTATAGAGGTTGACAGCTTGAGCTCCAAGAAAGACGAGAAGGAGGAAGATGTTGCTTCCACCACCTCAATGTCATCAGATGAATCTTTGGACCTGGAAGTGCCCTTTCCTCCATCATGGCAGACCCATGCGAAGAAGCAACTCACTTGGTGTACTCGGGATTTTCGTTTGCGCGCAGGCCTTCCTTACAACAAGGTGAACCGGACCATCGTTTGTTCAAAGCTACATTCGGACACCAGCGCCATTGATGTGCAGCAGGCTTTCGAGCAACGTTTCCGTGCTATGCCAGACTTCAGGCACATGTACTTCAAGAAAGGCCAGGGGTCAGGCATATTGCAGTTCATTGCCAGACAGACGGGCCTTTGCTCCTTTAGCAAGACATATCACAGAATAGGTTATTTTTCTTCATTATTCCCACTGTTCATGGTGATGTGCCTGCCTGGGCTGACACCGCACCTAAGGATTTAAGTGAATGTATGATATATGATGATATATGGATGTTTGATGTAATTGTTGTGCTCGTTTGCCGAAGAGCAATGAATTCGGCAGTCTTCAGTACAACCTGGCAGCGTGATCATTTGTATGGAGCCCACTCTGACTCTAGAAATAAGTATTCAACTTGTCACCGCCACGAATTTCGGAACTTCGAGGGGTCCTAAATTGTGGCGGAATATAATCGGAATATAGTCCCTCAAGAACGTTCTTCACCAACACAAGCATGCACAAATCCTGATAATGCTTGTGATGCCTCCAATGTGACTCACATCCGAATGGCGCCTCCCCATCGTGTGGCGAGTTGATTGCCTCACCTATTGACTTCTGATTCATTGATAAAGGGGTGTGGGTGGGGATTAGGTTGGTGCTTGTGTTGCTCGCAACTGTTGCGGCCAGGCCTCACTTCCTGCGCAGTGCTGCACGTCAACATCACTGGCTTTGATACCTCACATCCATATGCCTTCGTGCTGGTCCTTGATGAGACTGTGGCTCGAACAGCTCTTTTGTTCGATGGCATGGAGATTTGCGGTTGTGCAGTCCAACTGCGTCGCCCTCACGAATACTGCAGCCCCCCGGATGGAGACTCTGGTGCTACTGCGCCAGTGCTGGATGTGTCGGTCCTACATCGGATCGGCATGCTGAGTTCAAAGAGGGAGACCCATGGCATGCCGATGCATGACATGCATGATGCTTCTCTTCCCGTGGTTGAACGCACCCATCTACCACCGCGGCCTCCTCCAGCCAGAATTCCAGCAGGAATTCCAGGCCCTGCCGGAGCTACTCCCAAGTTTGCTCCCAAGCCGATGATGCGAGGGTTGCGGCATTTGTATCTCGGAAACTTGCCTGTGGGGCACAGGAGCTTGCAGGATGTCACAGAGTTGGTGACCTGTCTTTGCACTGAGCTAGTCTCGTACAGCAAGGATCTAGGCCCTGCTATGGTGGATGCTGCAGAAGTGCAAGGGGGCTGGGTGGTGGAAATGCAAAGCCCTGAGTTGGCATTAGATGCTCAAAACTGCTTGCGGCAGACGGTCTTGGCTGACACGCATCTCTCGGTGTACCTCACCTTCTCCACGAGATAAGATGCTGCAGCAGCCTTCGGTGCAGCCTAGCTGCCCGATTCTAATTCAAGCTGCATGTGCTAGGAGGTCAGTCTTTCGAGCTTGGGAGTCAGTGGTTCACCTTGACTTTAGAAGAAATGCAGAACATGAACAAAGAGAATTATATAATAAGGTATGATTGATATTCTTGGGGTTCTTCTTGACTCACTATGGTGTACGAGCTTTTCTTCGCTGCGTGAACCCCTGCGCGCTGTCGAGACTGAACAATCGGACATGACCCGGTGACGAGCGAAGCTCAAAAAAGATATGAAAGACCGCTGATCGCTTGACGTGAAGGCATTTCTTTGGGCAAAGGAATGTGTTATGTGAGGGTTTAGACTCCCCGGCCAGGAGCCCAAGAGAGAGGTCCGATCAGTCGAAGTGGGACAGCAAGTCCGGAACTCGCCATTGCTAT